CCCCCACCCCAATCACACACCACGTCTATTCTCACTGCAGTTTGTTTCTCTCTTTCTTTCTTTTTCAATCTCTCGTCTGTTTTCTATTACAAAATTCATTCTCTCCTCCGACACCATCGCCCCCTCTTTTACCTCACATTAACAGATAAACAATTTTAGAACTAAATACTTACTAACCGTTACCGACAAGTAAATGCTTCAAGTCTGTAAATGTTCATGAGGCAGCCAGCCATCTCACAAGTGAGTAATCGAGCTTCCTATCATAGACTTCTTAATAAGAGAACGGAAAACTAACGTAATAAACACAAACCACCGCCCATTGCGCTTCCGGTGTGCACAGTGGAAACATTTGACGCATAATATGTTTTGATAACCCACACAACGTAGCCAGTAGACACAAGGTGGTGAGGGGGCGTCCTGCAACCCTTTTGCTTCCTGTATGGACATCTGGGGAGAGTTAAAAAGCCTATTTTACCCTGTCACTCTTCATTATACCTTCACGAACGCTTTTTTGCCTGTGGTCCATTAGCAATAGCCTCTATGTACAGTTGTAATTCGACAAAGAATCCATTTTGTTAGGTCAAGAGTATCCAAGTCCACTAGCAATAAGGAGTCGGATTCGAATTTAAAAAAGTCATCAGGTCGAATCCTTGCTCTGTGAGGTAGCAGGTTGTATCCACAGGAAATTATGTGATTGACCCTTTTTTCTTCACTTCATCCAGCTGTAAAAGGAGTTATTTGAATGATGCAACACGGTATGTGTCATGGGTGGGGTGGCAGTTGGCAGATGAAGCTTTTAAAATCTGATCAGGCCGTTTAAAAGAGCTTTTGAAAATTTCCTTTATCCTTATTCTAAGTTTTATTTAAACTTTTAACTATGATTGCTCCTTAGACATCAACTGGATCTGTGATCCTATGAAAATAAAATTACGTATTACTAATAATAGAAGTCTAAAAATAGAGGAATTTGCTGTGGGGATTTGAAAATGTTTATTTCTGTTGTCAAGTTGCAATGTAAAACGGAAATGCCAACATCCGGTATTTTATGAAATATGCATTTTTGTGCGAGATGGTTTCTTTAAAAAAAATCAGTACCACATATGTTCTCGAAGAAGGAAATTTTCGTTATATACCCCTACCACCACCAGTGGGATTCTTGTATTCTTCTTTTTGCGCCATTTTTTGGGCTCCATGATATTCTTAGGAACATTGATCATTTCGACAAATTGTTGGCTCTTGGTACGTTTCAAATAACAAGCTCCATAGAATTTACATTGTCCATTTTCCCCGATACCACACCCTCCCTCTCTCTCTCTCTCTCTCTCTCTCTCCCTCTCTCTCCCACCCACACACTCTCTTTCTTTCTCTCCTTCAATATCTCCATATCTCTCCATGTTTTTTAAATCGGTGATTTTATCAACCTTATTTCTCTCTCCTAACACTTTCTCTGTCTGTCTGTCTGTCTGTCTGTCTGTCTGTCTA